GGAACCACCGGGTCAGGACACACGGGTCAGGACCACCGGGTCAGGACCAGGACCGACTGATATGGATTTTGTTGTGGCCGATGTGAAACCGATATAATGGGAGTTGAAGCTGCCGATATAATCGCCGATATATTTAGTGATGTAAAAATTCACTGTAAATGTTGAATTGTTTAAAAAACTTGGGTTTGGTTCTGGTGGATTTTAAACTGGGTTTATTTAAGAAACATTTATTGTTCTTCTGACTCTTTACGTCACATTTACAGACAGAAGTTTGGACTAATGACATTTTTACATCACATTCTACACACGAGTGACGGGGATTACAGTTGTTGTTTTTTTGGAGAACCGGCTCTTTTGGCTCGGCTCACTAAAGCAGCTGGCTCTTGTGGCTCCCAAGCGGCTCTTGAGATTGTTTTGTTGCAAGCAGGACTAAACCAGAACTGAACCAGGACTGAAGTGTCTGGACTCGGTCCTTCACTCGAGCCCAAGTTTAGTCCTGGTTTATTCATTTTATGCTGAACTGCAGCCAAATATGCACTTTTTTTTTTTTATCCTTTGCACATGCACATTTCTGAAAGCTTCGTTTTCTGCTACGGCTCGACAAGCGACTTGAGGAGAAAAAGTGAGAAAAAGAGAAAACACGGCTCCCAATAAGAAACATGCTCCCGTCGTTCACTTCAAAGAGCCGAATCTAAGAGCCGCTTCGATCACGACCGACTCATCACGACGAGTAAAGAAACTAGCGCCGCGGTGATTCATTATATGTGTAAATGTTGATCATTCACACTCATTTACATCAGTGCAGCTGCAGAAACAAATATACAAACAATATAATCACTTTACACACACACACACACACACACACAGGCTCCTCCCACATCACAAGTCTGAACAAATAAATATCCTTTTAATCCAGACTCAAACCGACTGTCTGTAAAAAGAAAATTAGACCTCTAAACCAGGTCTAAACCAGGTCTAAACCAGGACTAAACCAGGTCTAAACCAGGTCTAAACCAGGTCTAAACCAGGTCTAAACCAGGACTAAACCAGGACTAAACCAGGACTAAACCAGGTCTAAACCAGGTCTAAACCAGGTCTAAAACCAGGAAACCAGGACTAAACCAGGTCTAAACCAGGTCTAAACCAGGTCTAAACCAGGACTAAACCAGGACTAAACCAGGTCTAAACCAGGACTAAACCAGAAACCAGGTAAACCAGGTTCTAAACCAGGACTAAACCAGGACTAAACCAGGTCTAAACCAGGTCTAAACCAGGTCTAAACCAGGTCTAAACCAGGTCTAAACCAGGACTAAACCAGGTCTAAACCAGGACTAAACCAGGTCTAAACCAGGACTAAAACCAGTCCCAGGACTAAACCAGGTCTAAACCAGGTCTAAACCAGGTCTAAACCAGGTCTAAACTAAACCAGGTCTAAACCAGGTCTAAAACTAAAGGTCTAAACCAGGACTAAACTAGGTCTAAACCAGAACTAAACCAGGACTAAACTAGGTCTAAACCAGGACTAAACCAGGACTAAACCAGGACCAGGTCTAGATCAGGACTCACTGTTTGATGTGTCCGATAGTGTCTTGTGGTTGGACTGTGGCTGTTCTTTCGGTGTCGTTGAGGAATTTGAGTCTGAGGACGAGGCTGTTCCTCTCGTCCCTCCCTCTGCTCCTCAGCCCCTCCCCCGGCTTGTCCCCGCCCCCCGCGGCGGCGGCGTCCCGCGGCGACGCTTCGGCGGGGGCGGAGTCGAGCGGCGAGGACGTGGACGACGTGGGCGTGTCCTCCTGCACCACAGGAAATAACAATCACCTGGGGTCTGTGTGGGCGCTCTGGACTCACCTGGGGCGCTCTGGACTCACCTGGGGCGCTCTCGTGGATCTGGACTCACCTGGGGCGCTCTCGTGGATCTGGACTCACCTGGGGCGCTCTGGACTCACCTGGGGCGCTCTCGACGCTCTGGACTCACCCGGGGCGCTCTGGACTCACCCGGGGCGCTCTGGACTCACCTGGGGCGCTCTGGATCTGGACTCCACCTGGGGCGCTCTCTCGTCTGGACTCACCTGGACTCACCTGGGGCGCTCTGGACTCACCTGGGGCGCTCTCGTGGATCTGGACTCACCTGGGGCGCTCTGGACTCACCTGGGGCGCTCTCGTGGACGCTCTGGACTCACCTGGGGCGATGTGGGGGTGCTCTCGGGGCTCCGGGCGCTCGGCGTGGCGTCGGGTGTTCCCGTGGAGACCCAGGCGAGCAGGAGGACGGCGAGCAGCAGCAGGACGGCGAGGAGCAGGGTCACCTCGTCCCCCACGCCCTCGATCAGCGCCATGACCTCTGACCTCTGGGCGCTCAAGGCAAACGCGGCAGCAGGCACCTGCACACACGACCCGGTTCAGACCCGGTTTAGACCAGGTTTAGATCCGGTTCAGACCAGGTTTAGACCCGGTTCAGACCCGCACACACGACCCGGTTTAGACCCGGTTTAGACCAGGTTTAGACCCGGTTTAGACCAGGTTTAGACCAGGTTCAGACCCGGTTTAGACCAGGTTTAGACCCGGTTCAGACCAGGTTTAGACCCAGTTTAGACCAGGTTTAGACCCGGTTCAGACCCGGTTTAGACCAGGTTTAGACCCAGATCAGACCCGCACACACGACCCAATTCAGACCCGGTTTAGACCCGGACCTGCTCGTCTCCATGGAGATGCTGTTGCTGTGACATGTTCCACACTATGGCATTAAACTCACAGTGACTCCATGGAGACGAGCAGGTAAACCCACTGAGCCCAGGGACAGGTCAGATCTGTGGAGAGGCGACGCCTGACGCTGGACAAACCCAACAACGCTTTAATGCCACACTCTGGAACTTTCCAACACAGACCCACACAGAACCACACACAGAACACACAGAACCACACAGAACACACAGAACCACACAGAACCACACACAGAACCACACAGAACCACACAGACCCACACACAGAACCACACACAGAACCACACAGACCCACACAGAACCACACAGACCCACACACAGACCACACACAGAACCACACACAGAACCACACAGACCCACAACAGAACACACAGAACACACACAGAACCACAGACCACACAGACCCACACACAGAACCACACACAGAACCACACACAGAACCACACACAGAACCACACACAGAACCAACACAGACCCACACAGAACACACAGAACCACACACAGACCACACAGACCCACACACAGAACCACACACACAAACCACACACAGAACCACACACAGACCACACAGAACACCACACAGAACCACACACAGAACCACACAGACCACACAGACCCACACACAACCACACACAGAACCACACAGAACCACACACAGACCCACACAGAACCACACACAGAACCACACACAGAACCACACACAGAACCACACACAGACCCACACACAGAACCACACAGAACACACACAGAACACACACAGAACCACACACAGAACACACACACACAGAACCCACACACAGAACCACACACAGACCCACACAGAACCACACACAGAACACACACAGAACCACACACACACAGACCCACACAGAACCACACACAGAACCACACACAGAACCACACACAGACCACACACAGAACCACACACAGAACCACACACAGACCCACACACAGAACCACACAGAACCACACACAGACCCACACACAGACCCACACAGAACCACACACACAGAACACACAGAACACACACAGAACACACAGAACCACACACAGAACCACACACAGAACCACACACAGAACCACACAAGAACCACACAGAACACAGAACACACAGAACCACACACACACAGACCCACACACAGACCCACACACAGAACCACACACAGACCCACACACAACAGACCCACACACAGAACCACACACAGAACACACACACACAACCACACACAGACCACACACAGAACCACACACACAGAACCACAGACCACACACACAGAACCACACACAACCACACAAGAACCACACACACCACACACAGAACCACACACACAGACCCACACACCCACACACAGAACACACACCACACACCAAGAACCACACACACAGACACACACACAGACCCACACAGAACCACACACAGACCCACAGACCCACGCACAGAACCACACAGAACCACACACAGACCACACACACACACAGACCCACACACAGAACCACACAGAACCACACACAGACCCACGCACAGAACCACACAGAACCACACACACACAGAACACACACAGACCCACACAGACCCACGCACAGAACCACACAGAACCACACACAGAACCACACACAGACCCACACAGAACACACACACCACACACAGAACCACACACAGAACCACACACAGAACCACACACAGACCCACAGACCCACACACAGACCCACGCACAGAACACAGAACACAGAACAACACACCACACAGAACCACACAGACCCCACACACAGAACCACACAGAACCACACACACAGAACCACACACAGAACCACACACAGACCCACACACAGAACCACACACAGACCACACACAGACCCACGACAGAACCACACAGAACCACACACAGAACCACACACAGAACCCACACAGACCACACAGAACCACACACAGAACCACACACAACCACACACAGACCCACACACACAGAACCACACACACACACACAGAACCACACAGAACAGAACCACACACAGACACACACACACGACCACACACAGAACACACAGACACACACAGAACCACACACAGACCCACACACAGACCCACACACACACACGAACCACACAGAACCACACAACAGAACCACACACAGAACCACACAGAACCACACACACAGAACCACACACAGAACCACACACAGACCCACCAGAACACACACACACAGAAACCACACACAGAACCACACACAGAACCACACAGACCACACACAGACCCACACACAGCACAGAACCACACACAGACCCACAGACACACACAGAACCACACAGAACCACACACAGAACCACACACAGACCCACACACAGAACCACACACAGACACCACACACAGAACCACACAGAACCACACACAGAACCACACACAGAACCACACACAGACCACACACAGAACCACACACACACAACACACCCCACACACAGACCCACACACACAGAACCACACACACAGAACCCACACAGAACCACACACAGAACCACACACAGACCAGAACCACACACAGAACCACACACAGAACCACACACAGAACCACACACAGAACCACACAGACCAGCAGCGCCGTTCCCTCGTTCTGACACCGAACCAAACCGAACCAAACCGAACTAAACTTCCCAAACTCTGCTCTCCGAAGCGGAAGTGCTAATGCTAATGCTAATGCTAACCCTAACCCAAGGCGCTTTAGAACCGGAGCCCCGCGTGTCTGACCCGGTCCGATCCACACACCCGGACCCGGACCCGGACGAGCCGGAGCCGTGCGCCCGGCGGCTCTGCTCGTCTTCCCGGGACACTCACTGTTGTGCGGGGACGGTCCTCATGAGCGGCCCGGCTAAAGCACGAGCTAACCGCGGCTAACGAGCACGAGCATGCTAACAAGCTAATGAAGCTAATGCTAATGAGGCGCGAGCCCTCTGCAGGACGCACGTGCACATGACAGGCCTGCGCAGAACCGCTGCGCACGAGACTGTGTACAAGTACACACACACTGTGTACAAGTACAAGTACACACACTGTGTACAAGTACACACACACTGTGTACAAGTACACACACTGTGTATAAGTACACACACTGTGTACAAGTACACACACTGTGTACAAGTACATGTACACACACTGTGTACAAGTACAAGCACACACACTGTGTACAAGTACAAGTACACACACTGTGTACAAGTACAAGTGTACAAGTACAAGTACACACACTGTGTACAAGTACACACACTGTGTACAAGTACAAGTACACACACTGTGTACAAGTACATGTACACACACTGTGTACAAGTGTACAAGTACAAGTACACACACTGTGTATACACACACTGTACACAGTGTGTACAAGTACAAGTACACACACGTGTACACACACTGTGTACAAGTACAGGTACACACACTGTGTACAAGTACACGTACACACACTGTATACACATACACACACTGTGTACAAGTACAAGTACACACACTGTACAAGTACACACACTGTGTACAAGTACAAGTACACACACTGTGTACAAGTACACACACTGTGTACAAGTACATGTACACACACTGTGTACAAGTACAAGTACACACACTGTACAAGTACAAGTACACACACTGTGTACAAGTACACACACTGTGTACAAGTACAAGTACACACACTGTGTACAAGTACACACACTGTGTACAAGTACAAGTACACACACTGTACAAGTACACACACTGTGTACAAGTACAAGTACACACACTGTGTACAAGTACACACACTGTGTACAAGTACAAGTACACACACTGTGTACAAGTACACACACTGTGTACAAGTACACACACTGTGTACAAGTACACACACTGTGTACAAGTACAAGTACACACACTGTGTACAAGTACATGTACACACACTGTGTACAAGTACACACACTGTGTACACACTGTGTACAAGTACACACACTGTGTACAAGTACAAGTACACACACTGTGTACAAGTACAAGTACACACACTGTGTACAAGTACATGTACACACACTGTGTACAAGTACACACACTGTGTACAAGTACACACACACTGTGTACAAGTACAAGTACACACACTGTGTACAAGTACACACACACTGTGTACAAGTACAAGTACACACACTGTGTACAAGTACAAGTACACACACTGTGTACAAGTACATGTACACACACTGTGTACAAGTACAAGTACACACACTGTGTACAAGTACAAGTACACACACTGTGTACAAGTACAAGTACACACACTGTGTGTACAAGTACACACACTGTGTACAAGTACACACACTGTGTACAAGTACACACACTGTGTACAAGTACACACACTGTGTACAAGTACACACACTGTGTACAAGTACACACACTGTGTACAAGTACATGTACACACACTGTGTACAAGTACATGTACACACACTTGTGTACAAGTACAAGTACACACACTGTGTACAAGTACACACTGTGTACAAGTACACACACTGTACAAGTACACACACTGTGTACAAGTACTTGTCTGTGTGTTTGTAGTACTTGTGTGTGTAGTATTGTATGTACTGAGTATTTGTAGTACTTGTAGTTTGTTTATTTTGTGTTTGTGTCGTTTCAGCTTTGAACTGTGAGAAAAACACAAAACTCTGAGTCCAGCAGAAACACAAACAATAAAAACACACACAATAAAAACACACAAACAATAAAAACACACACAAACAAATAAAAACACACAAACAAATAAAAACACAAATAATAAAAACACACAAATAAAAACACACAAACAATAAAAACACACAAACAAATAAAAACACACAAACAATAAAAACACACACAAAAAATAAAAACACACAAACAATAAAAACACAAATAAAAAAACACACAAATAAAAACACACAAACAATAAAAACACACAAACAAATAAAAACACACAAACAAATAAACACACACACACACAGAGTTTAGAGACTTTATTTATTTGAACTGTTGTTTTTATTTTATTTTCTGTTCGTTCTGGAATGTTTAAGCAAAACTTTTGTTAAACTTTTATTTGAATGAGAAAAAGTTGAAACATCACAAATTTACAAACAGAAACATGAAGACGATGTTCATGTTTTTCTATCAATATTTAGTTTGGTCCAAGTCTTAGTCCAGTTTTGAATCTGAGCCTCTGTGACTTTCTCCTGTTTTACTCCGTTCAACTCAAGGAACAGTTGATTTTTTTTTTTTTTTTGTTTGTTTGTTTTGGTGCGAGGTGAAGCTCCTCCTCAGCAGGTGGCGCTCTCCACACCAACCACACCACACCAGCACATCACCTGTTTGAACCACCGGCCCGAGTCTGACCACACACCGGACTCACTCCACTCACTCCACTTACTCTAGAGCACCGGGAAAGAACCGGGAAAGAACCGGGACAGAACCGGGACACGGAGCCGGGGGCCGGAGTGGGACACGGAGCGGGACACGGAGCGGCCCCTGGAGCTCGGTCTTCTCTGGATTCTTGTGAACTTCTCAAACCTCCTGAGCTCTGAGTGTTTCTGTGTGAACCTGCGGAGCTGCGGTGAGCCGCGGTGAGCCGCGGTGAGCCGCACCCGAGCCCCGGGACAGGTGGAGCCTCTGCCCGCGCTCCGGAGCCTGTGCCCCGGGTGCCCGCTCTCCGGAGCCGGGCGCGGCGGAGAGGGGCCCCCGCTCCTTGCGCTGTGAGCCGCGGAGGGGAGCCGCTGTGAGCCGGAGCAGGGAGCGCTGTCGGCGGGCAGGATGCCACGGGGATGCGGGCAGCTGTGCGGGGACACGAGGACACGAGGACACGGGGACACGGGGACACGCTCCTCCGTCAATCACCGCAGAGACATGTTCCACCCTGCGCTTTTCCGGGACAATGCGGAGGACACGCAGGACACGCCGCCTCTCGCGTCACCTCAGTCGGCCTCAGGTCTCCGAGCCCCGGTCCTCTCCGGAGCATCTGGCCCCGGACCAGGTGCGCGTCAGCGGGACAGACTCTCTCACACCGCGGCTCCCTGCAAAACCCGAGCCGCACGTTTAAAGTGGAATTGTCCGGCGGCACAAAGGCGCGTTTTGAGCGGCGCTTGGCTGGAATTTTGGCCGCTGTCTCTGGTTTCATCCTCCGCCTTTGTGCTCATGTTTTCCCCCGGAGTTCCTCCCCCTGCGGCGCTGGGCGGAGTTTCATACCGGACTAGACGCTCCTTTTGTCGGATCCATTTCGAACTGACTCCCCGGGGTTTACGGCGGAGAAAAAGGCACGTAGAAAGCCGCGGAACGGTGCATCCGAGCCCGGTGCGGTGCAGACGCGGTGCCGCCGCTGCCTGGAGCCGGAGGTGAGTATCTGGTTGTGATTTTTGGGACATTTTAGGGTTTTTTGTGCGGCTCGTCCCCGCGGCCTCGGAGCCTTCATGGCGGCTTCGTGGTGCAGGCTTGTGGGGCAGCTGCAGTGTGACGCCCCGCTAAGACCCGAACTCCCACAAATCCACGAAAACAGACGAAAGACCAAGTCACGTCACGACTGTCCAATAAAAAACTACATTTACGACCAACAATAAACACGGACTCGTGCTTTATTTTCTACATTTTAACTCCAGAGCGAGTGTTGCTGCAGGATGGAGCTCGCGTTAGCTCCAAACACACCAACCTCTAAAGCACTAACACGGGACATTTTCGGGGTAAATGATTGTAAATGTGGGTTTTTTACACCGAGTGTCGGAGGTGGAGAGTGCGGGTCTCGGGTCGTCGGTGTCAGCGGAAGACGGTGCTGACTCCTGCCGGGGGAGGAGCGCCATTGCCCGGGCAGCGGCAGCAGCGGCGCCTGGGCCCCGGCGCGCGCGGGGCTCACGGCTCCGTCACGGCTCCGTCACGGCTCCGTCACGGCTCCGTCACGGCTCCGTCACGGCTCCGTCACGGCTCCGTGCGCGGCTCACTCCCGGACCCCGCGGGACTTGAGGCTCCTGAGTCACGTGTTTTTCTGATCTGCAAAGCTCCAAACTCTCTGTTCCACCTCGTGATGTCATCAAGTGAACAGCTCCTTTTCCCTTTTGTTCAGCTGAGATCAACAACAACTACTGTAAATACTACAAATACTATTACTACAACTACTACTACTGTAAATACTACAAATACTATTACTACAAATACTATTACTACAACAACTACTACTGTAAATACTACAAATACTACTACTACTGTAAATACTACAAATACTATTACTACAACTACTACTACTGTAAATACTACAAATACTATTACTACAAATACTATTACTACAACAACTACTACTGTAAATACTACAAATACTACTACTACTGTAAATACTACAAATACTATTACTACAACTACAACTACTGTAAATACTACAAATACTATTACTACAACTACAACTACTGTAAATACTACAAATACTATTACAACTACAACTACTGTAAATACTACAAATACTATTACTACAACTACTACTACTGTAAATACTACAAATACTATTACTACAACTACTACTACTGTAAATACTACAAATACTATTACTACAAATACTATTACTACAACTACTACTACTGTAAATACTACAAATACTATTACTACAACTACTACTACTGCAAATACTACAAATACTATTACTACAACTACAACTACTGTAAATACTACAAATACTATTACTACAACTACTACTACTGTAAATACTACAAATACTATTACTACAACTACTACTACTGTAAATACTACAAATACTATTACTACAACTACTACTACTGTAAATACTACTACTACTACTACAACTACTACTATTACTACTACTACTACTACTACTATTACTGTAAATACTACTACTGCTGCTACTACTACAAATACTATCATTGAATCATTTTCTCTCTTTTTTTTCTTTTTGATTTTGGAGACAAATAATGAAAAAAATAGTTGATTTTTTGTTTTTCTTACGAACAAACGACACAGACACACACACACACACACACACAGACACACACACACAACACACACACACAGACACACACACACACACACACACACACACACACACACACACACACACACACAGACACACACACACACACAGACACACACACACACACACACACACACACACACACACACACACACACACACACAGACACACACACACACACACACACACACACACACACACACACACACACAGACACACACACACACACACACACACACACACACACACACAGACACACACACACACACACACACACACACACAGACACACACACACACACACACACACACACACACACACACACACACACACACACACACACACACACACACACACACAGACACCACACAGACACACACACACACACACACACACACACAGACACACACACACAGACACACACACACACAGACCCACAGACACAGACACACACACCAAATAAACATTTAACATTTTAACACCAAACAACAACAAAACATCATCATTATTATTATTATTATTATTATGATTTTATTATTATTATTATTTACATGGAAACTACAACGACAAGATTTGAATTCAGATTAAACGTGTGTGTGTGTGTGTGTGTGTGTCCAGGTGAAGGGGGAGGAGCCTGCTGCAGGTGAACATGAACGGCAGCAGCAGCGTCTCTGCGACCAGCAGCACAGGTCAGGACCGCACCTGTCGCACACAGGACCGCACCTGTCGCACACAGGACTAGGGACGGGCATTCGATGAAATTTTCTTAATCGATCGTCGGAAGAATTAACGATCGATTATCGATTAATCATGAATGTTTTTCTATTAAAATGATCATCATTATTATTACTATCTGCACTAATCTGCATCAATAAATTCAACTTTACGACATATAAACATAACGACTCTAGATCCACATCAGCTGTTTGACATTATAATGTGTTTAATTCAGTTTTGTTCAAATCTCACAGAAACAAAACTTAAAACCACATCACTAATTTACATAAACTAAGTGAAGATAAAACTCCAGCTCTTGTGTCGCTGATGTGGTTCAACTTGTGTTGGATTAAAAGACATGACTCAGGTGAATACAGGTCAGTGTGACCAGATTTGTGTTTGTCAAAACCAGGACAGCGTACGGGGGGAGGGGGGCGGGGCCTCGTCATCCACATTGAGCGACTCTCACCTGGAAAAACTTTTTCCCACTGGACACAGAAACATATGTGCTGCTTTATCCACTGTGCACATGGACTCACACTTGTCCCAACGCAACGGAAAGTGTGGAATTTCTTCTACAAATCCTGGTTAAATCCACATTTGTGCTTCGGTTCGTTACAGACTGACCCACTGTTTGTGTCTCGCTCCTTCTGATGCAGAGACACATGTACACACCTGTTTGGTCACGACACACACACATACATTCAGTTTGTCCAGTAAAATCAACGGAATCCATGAAATTCTTAATGACCAATTATCGATTAATCGACTAATCATGCCCATCCCTACACGGGACCGCACCTGTCACATACAGGACCACACCTGACACACACGAGACCGCACCTGACACACAGGAGGGTCCCTGACACACGAGGTGTGTGTGTGTGTTTCTGAGCATGTGTGTGTGTGTGTGTGTGTTTTTAATCGTGTGTGTGTGTGTGTTTCTGTGTGTGTGTTTCAGTGTGTGTGTGTGTGTGTGTTTTTAATCATGCGTGTGTGTTTCAGAAGAGTGGAGTCGTGAGGACTGTGTGTGTGTTTTTAATCGTGTGTGTGTTTCTGTGTGTGTTTCAGTGTGTGTGTGTGTGTGTGTGTGTGTGTG